AATGTCATTTGTTAACCTATTGGCTCATAGAATCCCCTATATATATTTGGACCATCTTAATTGTTTAAAGGTATATTCAAACATTTTAATTGTTTATGATCTAACATAATCATGGAAGACTTATGTAAGACAAATCACAAATATTAGGAACATATTTTAATATTTTTCCATATTTAAATGAACAAATTTTTTGGTTAATAAGATAGCTTGTTATGCTGCGGATTTCTTTAAATGAACAAATTGCAAGCGCATTTCTTTAAACAAATTGCTGCGGATTTTTTGGTTAGACGCTGCGGATTTCTTTAAATGAATAAATTTTATGGTTAAAATGAATTAATAAGATACTAATGGAAAAATATTTTTCCATAGATACTAATGAATTAGAGTACTAATTGGTTAATAAGTGATATTAAAAAAAATTACTTAATGGGTTAAAATTTGAATTAAAAAGGGTAAAAAATAATACCCCTCATGTGTTGTATTTGGTATATATACGTCTTTCGTTGCCCTATTTGACCAAAAATGCTCCCGCCATTTCCTTTGACCCAAAAATGCGTTAAAAATTAACCGACTATTTGAAATAAAATTAAAAAGGACCAAAATTGCTCATGACATATCAAAATGAGGCAATCATTCTTGTTGAGCGGAGAAATTCCATGAATTATTGATTTGGTAGGTGGTTATGAATTTCTACACATCTCTTTCATCATTGCAGTATTGCGGGGGTCAGAACTGGACTTACATGTGTTATGATATATACTACGAGCATCAAATTCATAAATTTGCAGCTATTGCAGTTGGAGGATTTAATATTAGGCATACGAATTGTGCGGTGCAATGTATGATTACACCATGGGTGGATGATCATGTTTTGGGTTCAGCGTGTTGAGATTGATACAGTGTTCGTATGTTAGAATCAAGTCTCATAGAAAATTTCGGATGTTGGAATTTGGCTCTAAGGCTTGTGGGATAAGGTAGCTGGAAGGATCTTCAGTCTGACTTGCGTTAATGTGCTCACATAGGTTGTGGTGGCACGGGTAGGTGCACGAGGTATTAATCAGCGATTTTGGGCAACTCCGGAACGGTTCTTGACACGTTCGCGGACAAACGTATGTTTAAGTAGGGGAAAATATAACGATCCGACCAGTCATTTTGAGCTCTAGCACGTCGTTCGACGGTTTGAGGCCTTGAGTAGCTTCACTTCATGCTTTATGACTTGTACGTGTGATCGGAATTAAATATCGGGAAGTTCAGAGTTGATTCAGAATGAAAATTCTCTATTCAAGAGCTTTAAATTGGAAGAGTTTACCAAGGTTTGACTTTTGAGTAAACGATATCGGAATTTAAAGGTTTCAATAGGTTTGTATGATGATTTCGCACTTGGGCGTATGTTCGGGTTGAGTATCGGGTGGTCCGGGAATATTTCGGCGCTTATTGTGAAAAGTTGGCATTTTGATGATTTTTGAATTTCCTAAGTTTTATTTGAAGTGGACTTTGATACTATTGATGTCTGTTTGGGATTCGGAGCCTTGGAATAGGTTCGTAATATGATTTGTGACTTGTACGTAAAATTTGGCGTCATTTTGAAATATTTAAGTGTGATTCGGACGCGTTCGGTAAAGGATGAAGGTTTGAAAGTTAAGAGAGTTTAAGAAATTGAGTTTGATCTTTAATTCTTGGTTTTGATATTGTAATTCGTGTTTCGAGCCTTTGAACAAGTTTAGGTAGGGTATATAAACTTGTTAGAATGATTGGACGGGTCCCTCGAATTTCGGGTGAGCTTTTGGGTGATTTTGAACCACTTTTAGGCACTTTTGAACTGCTGATATTTGATGCCAGGGGTGTGAATCACGATCGCGGATATCTGGGCAGCGATCGCGAAGAGCAAAGTGCATTTCTAGCCTTGTGAATTGGGATCGCGATCGCGTAAGTTAGGGTCGCGATCGTGAAGAAGGAATTCCTCTGCCAGTGGCCTAAATGCAGGAGCTTATATCATGCAATTTATAACAAATTTGGAGATAATACAAAAATATAAATTATAGCCATTTGAATCTAAGTTTCAAAAAATCAAATCATTTATCATTTAGAATTTTATACAAAATGTTGTGGCCATTGTATTGAAGGGTGTCTGTGAAGAAGAAAATATTTTTTGTACATCGCGATCGCGGGACTTTGGCCGCGATCGCGATGAAGGAAAAGATGCTAGGACTTTTGTTAACTGCGATAGCGTGGCTAATGACCGCGAGCCTAGAAGTGTATTAAACATCTAATTTTGGGATTTTGACCTTATTTCTTCACTTTTAAGTTCTTGGATCACATGTGGGGCGATTTGGGGTGAATCTTGATAACCATTTTCGCCATATATCATAGGGTGAGTTATTCTTACTTGTTTCGAGTTAAATACATGGGTTATATATAAATTTTAACATGGAATTTGATATAAAATGTGGAATTCAAATTGTTTCAAATGGAGGCCATCGGAATCCTTATTGCCTTTGCATCTCATATGGAATTCAAATTGTTTCAAATGAGTGTCAAAAGTGATATTCTGAATGGCTTTCTAAAAGAAGAAGTTTTCGTCAAGAAACCGCCTGGTTTCGAGTGCCATGAGCATCCTGAGCACGTGTTTAAACTTGACAAGGTATTATATGGACTGGAGCAGGATCCTCATGCATGGTATGAAAGGTTGTCCAAGTTTCTTCTAGAAAATAACTTTACAAGAGGGAAAATTGACAACACTCTATTTCTGAAGAAACGGGGGAGGAACCTGCTCATAGTGCAAGTTTATGTTGATGACATTAACTTCGGAGCAATAAATGACTCTTTGTGTGAGGAACTTGCAAGACTCATGAGAAGTGAGTTTGAAATGAGCATGATGGGGGAATATGAATATCTTCTTGGGTTTATAAGTCAAGCAAACTCCTAGGGGTACAATGATAAGTCAGCAAAAGTACATCAAAGAGCTTCTGAAGAGATTTGAGATGAAGAGTTCAAAGATCATTGATACACCTATTGCCACTGCCACTCACCTGGATATGGATGAACCTGGTTCTCCTGTAAACGAGACTATGTATAGAGGCATTATTGGGTCACTTCTGTATCTCACAGCAAGTAGACCAGACATTGTTTTCAGTGTGGGACTCTGTGCCAGGTTTCAATCCAATCCAAAGGAATCTCATCTGAAGGCTGCAAAGAGAATTTTGAGGTATCTCAAAGGAACGCATGACCTGGTTCTCTACTGTCCCTCAGGAAATAACTTTGACCTAATAGAGTATGTTGATGCTGACTATGCTGGTTATCTGGTGGATAGGAAAAGCACTTCTGGTATGGCACATTTTCTAGGTTCGTGTCTAATCTCATAGGTCACAAGAAAACAAAACTCAGTGGCCCTTTAAACTGCTAAAGCTAAGTATGTGGCAGTTGTATCTTGTTGTGCTCAACTGTTATGGATCAAGCAGCAGCTAGAAGATTTTGGTGTTTTTTTAATTGTGTGCCCTTACTATGTGACAACACTAGTGCTCTCAACATGGCAAAAAATCAAGTTCAACATAAGAGAACAAAGCATATTTATGTGGGACATCACTTCCTCAGAGACTGTTGAGAAAGGGCTCATCTACATGAAGTTTTGTAGCACAGAAGATCAAATTGCAGATATCTTCACCAAAGCACCGCACAGAGCACTTTGAAAAGAATCGCTTGGCACTAGGGTTGATGAAATCTAGCTAGGTACCTGGTCCCTCAATGATTGGCTATGAAAGAAATGTACAGGTAAAATAGCTAAAAAGTGTTTTCTGGCAAAGTCTAACTCATCTCTATATCATTGCAGGTAGATACGCATGGCGATTATAGAGAAAGCAAGTAGCCAATGATATCACATTTCAGTCAAAAGGATGAAGTTCACATTTACAAAATCTGTCAGGGAACCTAGTTCCTTTGACACTGGTTAGTAGTTTGTATGTACTCTCATCCATATCTTTTTAACGGCTGAAATGGTGCCACATCATTAAAATGTCAATCATTCCTTTCTCTCTCTTTTTGGAACTCAAGTGTCCTGCCCGTTATGAAACGACCCGTATACCCAACTTGATACCCATTCCTAACCGGTCCCACACCCCTCTTAAATAACCTCTCTCACAGTCACTATCATAATTGTTCACATCAAAGCCAAAAATTCCCTTTTTCCTTCAAACCAAACACTCTCTTCTTCCATCAAACTCTCACTATCCTCAACCATGTCTGAAAATTTGGAGACTCAAATTGTTCCAAGCATCGTCCTCATTGTGTCATCACCTATTGAATCCTTAGTGCTAGAACCTACAATCCTTACACCATCTAGTCTAAACCCTAAGATAGAGTCACAATCACATACTGGTTCCTCTCCAACTCAATCGAGCATTGGCTCTCATAGGAGTCGCAAAACCTTGACTCCCAAGAAATTTGTGGTAGCAACCTCTCTTTCTGTCTCGTCGAAAAAAATGGTAGAAGCAGATACAGTGGCGAAAAAAGACAATCAGGAAATTTCTAGTCGACCAGTGGAAGAATGTTCTGAGATGCAAGGAGTAGGTTGTAACAGTGATGAATCGACAAAGACTACCCCAGGTCCTGATTTGAATGTTGTTGAGTCTACAGGTAATTCTCTCCTTATGTCTTCTGAGTTTACTTTGGGTTTGCAAGAACAAGAGGCCATATAGAATATGTTGTCAATCAAAACTGAGGGTTGTGTAGTTGGTGAGTATGAAGGAGTGTCTGAAATAAATGGGTCTAAGGGGGAAGGTGATAGTCTACTGGTGGAGGGAAGGGAACTGGTGCCTGTCAAAAATCTGGCACCAGACAGTACTATTGGGGAACTTCCTGAGGGACCTGATCCCTACACACAAGAGGAGCACCATGCTCCTACTTGGGATGAAACTCCTTGTTATTCTAAAGAACCCTAGGTCAGTACTGATCTCGCTCCCTCTCCTCATTTCTATGCTAAGCCATTGGCCATTGTTCCTCCCGAGATGAGATCTCTGTCTGAGGAGAAAAACGAAGGGAGTGAAGATGACTATGATAATATGGCTCTTGAGAGCTTCATCAGGGCTAGGAGTAGTCAGGCAACTCCCCAAGAGTCAACTTCTAAGAGACCTATCATTAGGTTGCAGAAGAAGGAAGAATTTAAGTCAGTTTTAAGGAAAAGAAGAAGAGGAGATTGGTGAAAGATAGAAAGGTTATAAATGAGAAGGTAGTGCCTCCTGCACTAGTTGTTGATATTGATGATGAGGTAGAAGAGGAACCTGGTTCCTTGGTTCGTAAGTCCTCAAAGAAACTTACTGTTCCAAAGTCCAAAAAGGAGTCATTTGTGAGTGAAATGGACTTGAGCAAGGTTGAGGGTGAAAAGTCTTGTGAGAAAGAAGCTGAGAAATCTGGTGAAGAGTTGGTTGAACAAGTTTCTGAGAAAAAGGTGTCCGAGAAATCTGGTGAGAAAAGAAAAAGTGCAAGACAATCAGTGAAAAGGAATGCTAGTGCTAGTGAAGAACCTGGTTCCTCCAAGAGGGCCAAGGCTGGTGCAACCCAGGATGCTGGAAGGGAAAAACTAAGAATCCAAAAGGTACTGTGGGGCCGTACATTTGCCCCCGATATTCTGGATATGTCAGGAATGTGCCAACTGGCGGAGATCTGTGAATTCCAATAGTGGACACATCTATTCACAACTGACAATCCCAAGGTATATGAGGCAGAAGTGCGTAGCTTTTATGCTGAGTTCTTCACAGTTGAGAATGATAACATTTGTCTGAAAGTGAACGGTGTTGATTTTTGATGGACACTAGTGTACCGGGAGCCATTTTGGGCGTGCCCACTGATGGTATGTAATCCATTGAGGGGGTCTGCTCTACAAATTTCAGAAACGTCATTGTGAAGGATAAGGCAGTACAGCAAGGGGAACGGGTACACAAGAAGGCCCTCCTTCTAGTGTATCAACTAATGTTTGAAATGGTGAACAAAGTTCTGCTCCCATGTGCTGAAAGACACTCTATTACATCAAGAGCAGACTTGGTTATCATGGAAGCACTGGATGGCTACACCATCATAAACCTGCCTGGTCTTATGATAGAGCACATGAAGAAAGTTGCAGAGTTCAAGGAAGGTAATCATGGGTTGCCTTACAGGTTTCTCCTCACTAAAGTGTTTGAATTCTTCAAGGTTCCCTTGGGACAGGCTAAAGTAGGAACTCGCAACCAATCGTTCTCCAAAATCACCCTTGAAGAGTGTGAGTGCATTGATAGGAGTGGAGGGGTTGGCAACAATTCGACCATTTCTCAGTTGATCAATGCTCAAGATAGTGCCACTGAAGAAATAAGGAAGCTGAAGGATCGGAATGCCATTCTCGAAGGTCAGATCAATCAGACCCAGGAGGCAGCTAGTTCCAGTAGTGCCCAAAACACAGAGGTTGCCCGCCTGAGAAAAGGAAAATGCTGCTCTCAAGAAACAGGTTGAGGACCTGAAGGAAAGGTTGCTAACCGAGCAAGGGTCTGTAAATGCTCGTATGGACATCCTTCTTAGAACCCTTGCCTCTTCCTCTGCCTCCAGTTCTCCCCCTTCCAGTGCTCCTTAATAGCCGCCATGTTCCCAGTGTCAAGTTCCTAATATGCTCTATTTATTTTTCTTCTCTTTCTCTTAATGATCTTTATGACTGGTACTTTTTGTTGTTTTTATTTTTATGGATGGTTTGGTAATAATGGAACTGTTCCCTGCTTAATTTCCAAAAATTAATGGACGTTTCATCCTTTTGTTGTGTATATCTTGCTCTTTCGCTCTGTTTTTAGTCATGATTGTGTGCACATATGTGGCATGAGTTAACCAAGCTAGACTTTTTTTGCTTATTGCTTGCTATTGATATTTTTATGATGCCAAAAGGGGGGAAAATAATCGAGGGGAAACAAGCTGGGGGAACAGATTCAGGGGGAATACAGCAAACTGATCTACCATTTTGGTTCTTAGGAGGGATTTAAATTATAAGTTTGTCATCATCAAAAAGAGGGAACTTGATAGGTTATATGTATCCCATTTATGTTTTGATTATGTAACAAACTTAATGATAAGAACCAGATAAGGAACATGTTACACATCCTCAAGTACTTAAAGAACGACAAGTCTCAAGTCGGGGACGTGGTTCAACTCTTTAGAATCAAAGGAACAACAGAGGGAACAGATAGCCACCAGTTCCCTTAGTGACAGTACAAGTCAACTTCTCACATCTGTAAAGTTGCTGCCTGCACACGCAACAGTTTAAAAATAGTGCAACAATCAACTTTACGGGGAATGCCCTTTACCTAACTTATTTGCATCATCCAAGTGATGTCATAAATTAATTACTAACATCAAGTAAAGGCAAAACAAAACCTTTGCACATTCATAATCTATCAAGCAATTCTCTCAAGTCTGTGTCAATCTTGCAAGTGATTCTCAAGGGCATCAAGAACAAAGAACAACATAACGAAGAACCAGTTTCATGTATTGAATCATTACATGTCCCTAGTTGTGTTGCACCTTTGTTAAAGTACTTTACTTGTAATTCCTACTTAGCTTAGTTAGAAGCATTGTGTAGGAAATCTTTATAAAATCATAAGCCTTGTGTTTGTGTCTTGGCTAGAGTTAGTCGAGTTGTAAGTCTTTATAATAGAGTTATTACAAAGTGCATTGTAATAGAGTTGTTACAAGTTAGTGAGGGATTAAGAGGTTAATTCCTAGATTACAATAGGTTGTAATCTAAAGTTTGCTCAGTAGTGAAGTTGAAATCCTACAAGGGTAGGTCGTGATTTTTAATCCCGTGAGTTGGGAGTTTTTCACGTAAAATTTTATTGTGTTATTTACTTACTGTTGTGTGCGTGCGTTCTGTGGGAACTTATAGAGAACTTGATTCTCTACGTAGTTTAGTGGACCCTTAGTTTCCATCACAATTACACTTGAAAAATAAAATAAAATATTTTTAGGTTGAGGCGCGGATATCTCGCTCTCTTTAAGGAGATTCAAGTCCATTGTAGCAAAGTCTTCACTGGTCCAGCAGTAATTCTCTTGACTTGTCTCCCCCAGGATACAACAGCCCGATCACGTCGTATGGCTCGAACAAACTCTGAAAAAGTTGTTAAGTCCAAAGCTCCACCAAGATGAACATCTTCCCTCAACAAAAGTAGAACTCTCTTCTTCTTCTTCTTCTTCTTCACAACTTTTACCTCACTTTTTTTTTTTTTAGCACTCAATAATTTTTTTAACATACTACATCATGTAAGAAAAACTCTTATTATAGATGTTGGAATTCTTCCTTGAATTAAATTAGAAGAAAGTGGGATAATAAGTTATGAAATCATGAAGAACATGAAATAATGGATGAATTAGTGTGTAATTAGTGGTAGAACATGAGAGAAGAGTTACAAAAGAGATGGTCATTTTCTACATTATGACTATTTTCTACTATCACGGAGTAGTAGAAGTTATGGCATATTTTATTTTAATAATTAAAATGATAATATACTAACATATCGTGGTGTATACAGTTAATTTACCAAGCTAGCTAGCTGTCCACTAAAAACATATGTTACCAAGGTAATCTTTTCCATCAGGTCGGGGTGGGAGCAGATTGGCTCAAGTCAAGTATTTAGTTGAAGGTTTTGCTGCGTGCATTTTGCTGAAAAGGCAGAAGCTTTAGCAAGTTACACACCGCAAATTTTGCTGCCTAACCACGTAATGTATGCGATTAAGACTTCACTAGTAATAAAAGTAGGAATAGAAACAGACTAAGAAGCTGCTACCAATTGTGAACCAGAGCCAGTTACGATATCTCATGTTTTCTTTTCATATGGGGATGATGATTAAGTTCTTCGTTTGTATTCTTACATTAAGTTCAGCAATTGCCACGTGCGTTTGTTACATGTTCCGCTAGTTGATGTGTGTCGCTTCAACTCCAGAAAGTCACCCCTCCTTTACAAATTTATAGGACTAGGTAACCCTATTTAACAAAGTTCAAAAATAATTATATTTACAAGTGATAATTGAAAAATAGCCACAATTTCAAAAGTAATCGACTTTTCATGTAAAGAAAAATTTGAACAAAAACATTGTTCAAAATCCGGAAAATATTCCAGCATAATATACTATAGTTCGAATTTTTTACATGTGAACTTCCAGCATATTATGCTGGAAGTTCATACACAGGTGCACAAATTTCTAATATATTATGCTGGAACTTTCCGTGTTGCAGCAAAATAGTGGCTATTTTCAATTACCATTCCGAAAACTGGCTAGCTCGTGCTATTTTCACCAATTTATGTGGAGGTATTTAACTAGGGGAATTTTTTTTTTTTTTAAAAGGAAGACTTCTAAAACTTGTAATTTAAGATAAGCTATAGATATTTGTGTGGGTATAAAACATCTCATTAAGGGTAAAATAAGAAATTTAAAGCCAAATTAGTTCTAAATAAGTATAACATTCTATTGGGACAGAGTAAAATGAAAAGTATAACACAAAAATTAGGAATAATGGAGTATTTATATTCAGTGGTTATGAGGGATCAGAATACCTACCTCATGATAAGGGACTGTTTAGGTCTTTTAAGTGACTGCATATTTCATCTGTCAAAATTTTGTTGGAAAATTTTATAGCAGTGTGGGCTGTGGATATTATTTCAGAAACCAGATACGTATGCCTGTAATTTACATCTCATTTTTTATGCAGTTTAAGGTTTTAAATTTTAATTCTGATGGAGACAAAACCGATAAGTTGTGCTGCATAACATAACCAGATTTATTTGATGAACAAATTGTAAAAGGTTTTCTGCAAGCGATTCCGAATAAATGTCCACAGAAAGGAATGTTAAGGACCTAAGCTCCAAAAGTAGCTGGATTCAATAGCTTTAATCATTCTCCTATGCCTTTTGCTTCCACTTGTTTTAAACTGTGTCAGAGAAGGACTCTGAGCCAATCTTTCTTTTCTTTTCTTTTGTCTTTTTTTCTTTTTTCATCAGCTTGAACACGCATGACCTTCCTCCAATGGTTCAACTGGCACTGCATATGGCGAAGTCCAGTCAGCATCGAAGATTTGTTGAAGTTGCGAAACAATAGCAGGTTGATGTGTCCCAAAGCTAACGCCTGCTGTCGTATAAAAGTAGTCCCACACCAGGTTGCTGGTGCTTATGTGTGCACGCGTATCACTAACTGCATATTTACCATGATTAACCCGTGTATACCCAGGATACATATTCCCGGTAGCAGTGCCATTAAGTGCTGCAGGTCCAGTTGAATTGTATCCTGGAACAATGTAATACTTGATCTCAACTTTACCAGAACAATGGTTGTACTTTGAAGAAGAGCATAGTGTGTTGGAGTAAAGCAAGGACTTTAGATACTGATCTGTGTTGTTTATAAAATGAGCCCACTTTGCGACCAGTATTTGAACCTTTGCACTCTTAGAGAAGACAACCTGCATTAAAATAATTACAACAAGATTAAGTTTTAACCAATTTTACACGCGGGATGAAGGTAAAGCTTGAATCTTTGAAGGATCTCAAGGTTGGTCCAATCAAGGACAAATGCATGCTGTCCTGAGAAAGTAGTGATATTATAAACCCGCGAATTGGTAGTGCTTATACTTAACATCAACTTGGTTTTCAGCATTCAATAAGAGTCTATATGGACATTTACTATTGTTGTAGAGTAAAATGGGGCCACCAGATGCTTTTTCCTATTGAAACCATTGTAGGAAGCAAGAGACGTATAGCTAATCTCCAGCTCATAGCTCCCAGTTTCTCCCATGTGCTGCCACTATATAGCTGCCAAGGAAAACAACTACTATACTTAAAGATGACAAGCATTAATGTAGACCTGGTTGAGTAGACCGCAATTTACTGGTTGAGTAGACCGCAATTTTAACAATTCCCTATATATCTTTTGGTCTTCTGCATTTCCCCTATTAAACAATCTTTTTAAGTGACTTTACTTTCAAGCAGTTTGTCTTTTGCACAGGCCCTCTCCTTTTATTTGTTATACACGCTTAAGTATCCACAAGAGTTCTCAGATGTCAAAAGCATATAAAAAACTGAAGACCAAACTAGGAAGCAACATTCACTAAGAAATACGAGCAAATTGCGATCAGCTTCCATAGCCTGAACTTGCACATGGTCTATCACAATATTTGATTCCAAACCTGGCAATATATTACCAGCATACTTAACCCGATATTGCGCCACAACTATTTGTCAAACAGTACAAGAAAGGAGACATTATGAACTAATTAGTAGATTTGTGCAGTATGAAAAGTTGAATCAGTAGACTGCATTTACTTCTCAGTAGATACTGCTTTAATGCATCATGCATTTCAAGGAGAAAAACGCATCATGCATTTGAGCTGTACAGGCAGTACTTCTAATCAAGCATCAGGAAATACCTAATTGTAAAGTTTAACTTAAAGCCATTTAAAATTACAGAGAGAAAAAGCAGTCGAA